TAATAACGCGTTCCACCAAGGCGACGTTGAATCGTTCTGGGAACGAGCGATCTTAGGTATTTTTTAATGCACATACCTTTCAAGTGTGAAAAAATATCGTCTCGGTAACAATCGATGAAACGATTTAATCAGAGAATGAAGCAATAACCGTGTCGCAGAGTTCTCTTTTATCGTACACGTTCTAAAAATCTCAAGAAATTATTAATCTTAAGTCAAATTAATATTTTGTCACAACTCATTTATTCGATCCCCGACGATTACCGCGATATCGATTTTATTATCACTGTACGATCGTCGGTCACGATCGACGGAATGATTTAATCTCAAGAAATTATTAATCTTGAATCAAATTAATATTTCGTGACAACCTATTTTAATCGATCCTCGACATTACCGCGACGTCGATTTTATTCTCACTGTACGGTCGCGATCGACAGAATGCTTTAATCTCAAGAAATTATTAATCTTAGGTCAAATTAATATTTTGTCACAACTTATTTTAATCAATCCCCGATATTACCGCGATATCGATTTTATTGTCACTGTACGGTCGTCGGTCGCGATCGACAGAATGATTTAATCTCGAGTGCAATCGCGTTGGGCAAGACGATTAGTTATAGAAAATGCGTGCCTAATATCGCTCGCGTCGTAATCGCGCACGGTTGACGCAACGGTATTGCAGCACGTGTATTTTTTAGCATTTCAATTGCGCGCTATCGCAATAATGGTAATATTGTCAGCGCGCTAAAATCGCCGATAGATAATGACGCTTCTTATTAACCAGCTATAAACGCAACGGCGTACGTATGCGCCGCGGGCCCGCCAGGCCGACCTTTTTGTTCGCTTCGCGATCGATCCACGTTGCGCATCGGTACGCGTAACCTTTCGAGTGGTGCGCGCGCTTTGGAGAATTCGAAACCGAACGCACATCTGCCCAAGTTGCATTGCGCAAATCCGGGGCTTTTGCTTGAAATGTTTGCCGCGCGTGCACGTGAGCTGTCTAAAAAATCTACCCCTAAAAAAGTATTACTTTTAATGTTATCAAGCTACATACTATCTCTCTATCGATGATAAATCGTATTGCAGATACCTTATTCTTATCCGAATGTGTTGTTAAAAAGGTCTTATCTTTCAGTTTTTCCGCGAACGATCTCGTAGCAAAATTTACAATCGTTTATATAAAATTAGACTCGATTAATTCTCTGTGGCCCGATTTTTCATTTTCTGGTTAACTGTTAACCCAGAAGTTACTCGACTCTCCATCTTTTTCTACGTTATTATCTGAGAAGAGGCGGAAAGTCGACTAACCTCTGGTCAACAGTTAATGAGAAAATGAAAAACCGGGTCCACGTTGGTCAAATTCAAGCAAATTCATAGGACATTCTTTGTACTGTCGCGTTTAAGAGAATGCTGATTCGGCCGATTAGCCAAGGCGTCGCGAGACACGTTTGTTAACGCGCGATCGACGCCTTCCCGAAACGGCAAAATCACGGCCGATCTCCGATAAATGCGCGGCACGACGCAGTTGCAATTACCGCGTACATCTGTCGCTCGTAGTTCCATTGTTCCGGAAAAGCGTGCAGAAGAATGACGCGATAAAAAAAAAAGAGAGCGCGCGAGCGGAGCGGAGCACGGTGCGCGGAGAGGAGCACCGTGCCAGCGGCCGAGGTGCATTTTACGCATTCGCGTGCGTATGCGCTGTGTGCAGCTCCGGCGCGGCCTTGAGAGGGGTTCTTTGTGCGGTTCAGCGTTCACTGTGCGGCTCGCGCTCACACAGCCGCGAAACATACGGGCGCGCGCGAACACCCACACACTCGAAAACTTGGCTCCCGCCGTTACATACGTACACTGTAACAAGTTGCGTTGCACTTATGTACAAAGGGCGCTCCATGTGACTCACGTGCTCGCATATGCTACCGGCAGTCTCCGTCTCTCTCTCGCCCCTCTTCCCGTTGTTGATCTTTCCTCTTTTCCCTCCGCCTCCTATTCTATTTATTTCTCTCTCTTTCCCTCTCGTTCTCATCCGGTGTGTATATATATATGTATATATACTCGCACACATACATACGCAAACACTATATATGTATATATATATATATATATATATATATGTGCACCGCGTTTCTCTCTTTCTGCTCTCTGTGCTCTTCTCTTTGTCGGTCAACGTCTCTATCCCACTCCACCGTTGGAGTGTGCACATAGCTCGATCCAGATATACACGCCGAAGTGCACACACGAGACCACGAAGAGTGCATGCGGGTGTTGGCCACGTGCGCGATGCACTTTTTGCTCGCGGGGCAACCTTCGCCTTTTATGCGTCGTGCGCGCGCGGGTCCGCGCTGGAACTTTATACCCTTTTCAGCGATTTGCTACGACGAGCTTTTCGGTATACGCCGTTGAACAAAGGTAATGGGAAAACCGCGACCGCGGGGATCACCGTGTGTTTTTCGTAAAGTGGAAATGCTCCGTCGAGCTTTTCTTTGATAACGCTGGGCGGTCAAGCAGAAACGTGTAGCAAATCGATTCGCTATCGAGGCCTTTGTGTAATATTTCCTGAAATTCTAATACTAGACGACGCTTTAAATGTAAATGAAAATTTATTAATGCACTGGTTATTCAATTATTATTTCTACCGTAAATTTCTCTTTACGGAACGTCATTCAATTATTTTTAAGTACAATCTCAATTGTTAATGAGATTAATGGTACACGAGATTAATGGCACATAATTAATCTCTTTCATTTTTTTTCCTGGAGATAATTCATCTTTCATGCGACGTTTCTCATCCAGCCGCCTGCTTTCAATCAATCTTTCCGCGTTTTCTGCATTTCAAAGTGCATCTGTATGCCATTTCCAAGATTTATAGCTTTTAATACTCGTGTATTACAACAAAATCAAGTGGAAACAAATTTCGAAAGAGACGTATGTACCTCGTCCGAACTGCAGACAACTATTGCTGATTTCTCCGTGAAACCGCGCATATAAAGACATAAATCTTTCAACATCGCGAGTTCGGCATAATAAATATCGAGTTCGATTATTATAAATCTCTCTCCGCAAAGGTTTAGCGCGGGTGTTCTCACGCCGGGCTCTATCGAGTGACATTTGGCTGGAAAAGCAGGTAGAAAGCCAATGGGGCGTCGATGCCGCATCTCTACGATGCGTATATTTTGCAAGCGGTGAAAAGCGCGCGAGCGGCGGCCATGTCTCTCTCTCTCTCTCTCTCTGTCTCTTTCAATCGCGACTGTTGCTGCTGCTGCTGCAGCGCGCTGTAGAACGAAGATTTCGCGACTGCGAGCGGCTTTAATCGAATGTAGGCGATGACGACGATGTGTGCGCTGTTGCACAAGTGAAAGAGCCGCGAGCCATTACGGACGTTTACTCGAAATGTCAAGGATGCAACCACGTGTGCTTGCGCGGGAAGATGACGGGGAGGCCGAGAAAACAAGATGGAAGGAGAGAAACGGGAGAGAACCGAGACAATGACGGCCGCGGGGCACGATAGAATTGTTATTTTGTCACGCATGGCTCGTGTGTACGCGTCCACGTGCGAAGTGAAAAGTGGCCATGTCTAAATGTTTCTGGAACCTTACGGTAAAGCGGCTTTTCGCGGGAGACGCCGTCGCTTTCACCGCTCCGGCCGGAGTCGCGCGATGCGCTTTCAAGGTTGCAACCGCGGAGTGCAGGAGCATGATATCGCGATTTATGTTTCGTAACACGCGACAAGCGAGTATCCTCCCGATGCTCGGTTATCTGCAAGGGGCAAAGCGTGACATCAGCAGCGCGTTGATACCCGATGCCGATCGTGAAGTGAAGCGATACGCATTTATAATTGACTTTGTTGCATCAGCCGGTATTAGGATTCTTTGATTTTCGAGCTGGCAAGGGGATGACGTGGCCGCTTAATAAAACTGTTAGTCCGTGACACGATAACGAAGAGGAAGATATATCTCGGCGATAAATAAATGACGAGATAAATGAGGCGGAAAGCGTGTCACGCGGTAGCGGGAGGCAGCAGCGCGCGCGTTGGAGGCTTGGTCGTCGAGGAACTGTTCTACGAAATCGTATAGCCGCGCGACAGATAAAAACGCGCATATATATCCAGGCGGGAGACAGGCAGTCTGCCGCGGCGCGTGATAACGCGCGTTTTCCAAGTGTAGATATCAACGTATGTTTGTCGAGCTTAGAACAGTTGATTCCAAGGCCTGTCGACGATTGTCGATGTCGTTGTGTCACTATCAACGAACAAACTTTACGCGCAATAGCTTGGCAGACGTGATCCTCGCGCCGGAGAGACTGTAAGCACCGACATACGCAATTCGGATATTAATTTTATCTTCGGCTTCGCTTTATAAGAAAATACTCCTGATCCCAGAAACTGGAGCTGGCGAATGTCATAAAGGTTTCTTACGGTATCCAGATAAAAGTTGCACGTGCGCGCGCAAGAATAGTCTTTCGTAATGTCCGCAAATGTCGAAAGTGCGTGGAGAAGGCTGTCGGATCGCCCGTTATAAATTTTAAAGCGGCCATTATCCAACAATGTCGCTCTTGCCATATTCGGACCGCGTTACCTTGCAGCACGCACCTAGTGGCATTAAACCTTATATACGAAGTAACCGTCTCAACACACTCCGGTCGCCGGCGAGTTGCCATTGTGTAACGTAATTTGCGTGTAATCAATTGTCGTTATGAAGCGTGGCGATACGAGCGCGAGTGTTATTACCGTTCGTTGGCGTACGGTAGCTGTAAGACCACGGTCATCATTAATTCAACCATCACGTGACGCGGCCGCCCGTTAAACGCATTCGCGCTGAAAGAGTCTTAATTACGCCATACGGATCGCGATCAATTCAATCTCCTCGTTTCTTCTCGATTCCCGTCTACGTCGAGACGCAGCGATTTCTTTCGCGATTGTTTTTTTTTCCTCGTATACTTTGTAGAACTAGAAAAATTCTCGTAGAGCGAGTCTTGAGAGAAGATTTTCCTCTTTTGCTCCGCAGATCGGGCACCGCGTCGATCCGGCGGTTCCGGGTCCCAGCAACCTCTGGTGATCTGGCTGCAGCCCGGCAACGTCGAGGACTTGTCGAGCCTGCCGCTGCCGGACCTGGTGCAATCGGCCGTGGATCAGCTGCCACCGCCGTCGCCCCAGGTGACAGTTTCTGTCCCCAGCAGCCCGATGAGGGACGCGACCTTTCAGTTCCCTGAGTGTAGCAACGTCAACAGCAACGGCGCACCGTTGCCGAGCCCAAGGCCACGGCCGCGAAGACGCTTCGCGTCGGAGAGTTCCGTCATGGAGACGGGCCCGATCGAGGTGAGCAACTGCAACGGTACCACCTGCCGCTGCCACCTCGGCTTGATCGTCAACGAGAGGCAGTCGTGGACGAGCGTGGGTGCCAATCTCAGGAACATCGCCGGTGATTTCCACGCGTGCAGGACCAAGGTCAGTGTTACACGCCAGTCATGCATCGTTACTTGGTGTTGAGATCCGCAATGCCGATTCGATCGAGTAGCGAGGGAGGAATGCAAATTGCGGATCTCGATGTGGAGCGACGCTTTCTCCCGTCCTTTCCCGTATTGAGATCCGCAACGAATTTGCATTCCTCCCGCGTAATTCGATCGCATTGATACATCGAGCGCAGGTTCGAGGACAATTGGAATATTGTAGATAGCATCTATATAAATATCTGTACCGAGCCTCACGCGCGATTTACGAGATTAAGTTTTACTTTCGGGCCGGTGTTATCGACAATTTCGAGCGGCGCTGACATTGTCGTCGCTTTTTTCTTCCTGCTGTCGCTGATGGCGTAATACAGGAGCGTTTATGGTGAGAGGAGTACAGGTGTAAAACGCCACGCGTAAAAATTGTACGGCACGCATTTTGCACGCACGGGAGCCATCGCGTAACTTTTCACTCCGCGCATCGCAATTTCATCTTCCCCATGAAGGCTTTTATTTGTCATAAAGTTACCCCTGTGTCGCGAGTATTATAAAACGTAACGAATACGCGACGAAAAGTCCTCCGGCGGGTGTTTAGCTTGAAATTTCGCTCGCCCCCGAAACCCCTAAATTCTTGTTACTCAATTTACAGATTGTATCGTGAATTTATCACCGCGAGCATTACAGATATACTTTGCAAATTTACATTCGTTCTTTTCAAGGCACGGCGAGTTCAAAAAGTACGTCGATTCAATATAATTATAGTAAATCGACGCGTCCTTTATCCGCCCGAGTATCTTATCGTCTAAGAGAATCTTTCACGGAATTTCTATATCCATCTCGTCTGACCAGGCCGTATCTATTCACCTCGATGACCATTAACGTTCGCGAGTATCGATTCTGGCCGGGGATAGACCAGTGTCCAGATTCCTCTTCCGATATCCAGGATTTAATAGCGCCACGAGTGATTCAATACTTGCCATTCCGCCGCGGAACTTGTAGGCGTCCGACTACGATGGATTCGCGGTTAGAGAGGTGTATTTCTTCCTTAAGAAAGATAGAAACTACTCGTCGTCGCGTGGGCGGGGTCATAAACGCGAATTTAGTTATATCAGGGTACCCGGCGGTGTCCCGCGGGTGCAATAAATATCAGCTCACCACCGTCGAGACGTCTAGTATTGCCCCCCGTGTGTACGGCCCGGGTGCCACTGGTACTTCATCAAAACTCCACCCGTCCCCTTCCCCCTCGTGGTGGTCGTTCGATCAAATATGTATCGCGGACTGGTATGGGCCTCCTCTGATACTTTACGACGGCTCCTCTCGTGTTCGCGGTCGGGAGAAAGAAAGTGGCGATTGGGAATTGGCTGGCGGATAAATAGAGAAATGCGGATCGGAGAGATATATATATATATACAATATATTACGAGCGTAGAAACGATGTCATCATCTTGGAGATTAACGCAGTAATGAAGCGTGACGTTAGTTTGATGGATTGACGCACTCTGTGTATACACGAGATTATAATCCGGGATTCTTTCCTGAAAGGAATAAGTAATGCCGATGTCGCGCGAATTAATTGTGAAAATCTTCCTTTTCTAGACGCGCCGGGAAACTCATTAGGGAGACGATCTTTCTTGAATATTTGACTTTGAAGCGCTCTATACGAATCACGAACGCAATTTCCTGTTGCCTACTGTTAATCGAGACGAACGTATTAATGGCTCGACGTCGATATCATACCGAGTCGGTTCATCCGACACGCGAGAGAAATGGGCATAATTAATGCGAAAAGTTTCCGATTACTGTCGCGGCAGTTACGGGATATCCACTTCTTCGTTATTGAAAAGATTGCGGAGGGTCGTCCGATCAAATATGTATCGATGAACGAGAAATTCCCCCTCGGTTTTACGACGACTCTTATTTGCGGTTGCGGATTGAAAGAAAGTGAATGGCGGCAGGATGAGACACTAATAGGAAAAGTAAGAAGAAGAGAAAGTAGACGCGGGGGAAAAGGATAGTAAGATGAACAAGGTGGAAAGAGTCATTTCTCTTTTATTCCGCCTCGCTTTTATCCACTTTAAAGGTCCGCCGGCGCGATACCCAATCCTGGAACGTCTAATTATTGCTGGTTAAGTGCCGATAATTGAAGGGGGGCGAACAGACCCGTGAAATTGAAGAAATCTCTCCGTCTCGCCTGCCCCGTAGGAGATCGGATACCGATCGGTTCCTCGGTAACTCGAGGAGCGTCTTGTTGATAATACGAATCGCAGAGGAGCCCCCGGAGCCGGCGGGGTCGTCTTTACGCTTTTCTCTTCTTCGCGCGCTCCAACAAATTGAAATGTCAGATTAATACCACGCTGGCAACGTCAATCGCGAATTAGCGAATGACATCTCATTACGTATCTCGTCTTGTTGTACATTGATTTATTTCCTCACTTGGGTAAAATGCGCAATAAAAGTATATTGTTTCTAATAGAAAATTAGGGCCTTGAAACGGGTCACACTTGGATTAATTCGTCGAGTCTCTTGTTCGAGGTTGGCAAGATTTCATATTTCTTGGATAAAGTCCATGCCAGTGGTAAAAACCGGTATTTTCCGACCAAAAAAAACCGACGAAAACGGGTCTTCTCTATTAAAAACGATAAGATAAGTAGAAAACTTTTAGAAAGCACTGCAAAAAAGTATTGTTTCCCGCATAAACTAAAAATTAATATAAAATTTAGTATCTCCGAAGTTCTCGTTTATAATTAAAAAACTTATTACATTGGTTTCTTTTTAAAATAGTGATTAATATCTATAATTTAGTATTTTAATCAAACATCTTTTCTCATAAAAACTATAAAAATGACCAATATTTATATAAATATATTTCAATTAAGCATTAGTTACTTTTGTAATTTTTGCCAATTTATTCCATATTCCGGATAAGTCCGGGACGGTAAAAAGCCGGAACTTACCACGGTTTCTTCCACCAACCCTGGACTTTTCCAGCCGACCCTGCTCTCGTCAGATCGCAATTGCAATGCGTTGCAAATACGCGGAAGCGTAGCGCGCAAAGTGCCCGGCACCGAATCGCGACTTTTCCGACGCGTTTGACGAGCTTTTCGCGGATTTGCGGAAATACAGAAATCGCGGAAACGATCTTCTCGTCTCTCCCGTGCCCCTCCGTCGGCCGAACGGTCGCGGGAAACCACCGACGGTGCTTTACATATGCATGGAGAGTAAGCGAGCATGTAGCGGCTAAGTGGCCACATCCCCCTTACGTGAAAGTTAAGTGGGCATGGCAGCACGAGCCGTGGCCACGGGCCGAGAAAATTATCTTCAATTATCTCGTGCAATCGGAGCCTCCCCTCCCCCGCCCGCTTGTTCGCTCCTATCTCGCGCGTTTCGTCTATCTCGCTCCTTTCGATTAGCCTTTCGGCCGATCGTCACTTTTATGCCTGCCCGGTAATCGAATGGCCGTACGCGTTCTCGCCGTGTTTTCGTTGACCTCCGGATAGAGAGGGTTATACACCTGGTAACTTGCGTTTCTATGTAATACAGGATTATGGGTGAGTGGCCGCGCTCGTAAAACGCGGGATATAGTACTCCGACGTGTCAGAAACAGCGAAATAGCCGACTACTCCTCGTGTATCGCTTGGAAAATTGAAGCCAAGCAATTTCCCGCGAGGGCATGCGCCGATATCGCCGGCCGCGCGCTCCCTCCCGCTCCGCGAAACTCATTACTCGCGAGCGGCAAAGTCGAAATTTCAACACGCGGAAGCTCCCGAACGACTCGATCCGACTTGTTTCCCCCGACAGGTTGGCGTACGCGCCTCGCGGAATAAACGCAACACGTGTTACGTTGTTCCGCCGCGCAACACGAATCCCGTGGCGAAACGCGCGCTCGCCTGACATTTATCCACAGTCGTTTAAACGATCTGACCGACGCGCAAATTGATACATTAGTATACCCTCATCTCTCGCGCCGCGGCGAGATAACGGATCTTTTTACGATGGCGCAAGCCGAGGGCAAGCCGCGTCGAACCGCCGCTGAAAGAGGAGGCCCCCCGATGCAAGAAAGCCGATAGTCGTTC